TACCAATAAAATTCATACCCCTCCTCTTGATAGTGTCACCTTCACCACTAACCAAAACTAGCACATACCGCTGCAAATGAGTGATACGTTCCTCCCGTATATGCCGTTTCAGAACCCACTTTCACAGCACCCGTCATGGTCAGGATGCCTGAAGTTGATCAATATGCCAAAATGGAAAGAGAAGCTAAGTATAAGAAGGAAGAGTCGGTATCCAAACAATAGCGGGCATTGAGGAAACAAATGAAAAACTTTCAGGTCGTTCGAGGGAGCAAAAGTCTAGATTATGCGGATCTGTGTATACACCCTGATATGGATATGCCGATAGGGTACAAGGCCTCCGAAGTTTGATATCTTTGATAGGACATGTGATCCCCATGCACACTTGATAGCCTACTGCGATAAGCTAGTTGGAGTAGGAAGAAATAAGAAGTTGAGGATGAAGCTGTTCATAAGGAGTTTACAGGGGAGGCACTTACTTGGTACACTCGCCGAGATCCCCGAAACTGCAGGGAGTGGCAGGATATGGCAAAAGATTTCATGAAGCGCTTCCGGTTCAACACAAAATTACCCCGGATAGGTTCGCTCCGGTAAACTTGCCTAAGAAGCAGTCAAAATCATTTCAAGAGTATGCACTACGATGGAGGTCAGAGGCCTACAGACACAACCCTCGTTAGATGACAGTGAGTTGAATAAGTAATTCATCAGGGCTTAGGAAGGAATCTATTTTGAGAAAATGATGAGCATGATGGGGTAGAAGTTCTTGAACTTGTTAAACTGGGAGATTTTCTAGAAGGGGGTATAAAGTCCGGCAAGATACAATCTATGACTGCATTGTAAGAAGCTAGCAAAGCAATCTAATCCGGTTCAATAGGCAGCTGAAAGAAGAAAAATGAAGAGGTATCAACAATCATTCCTTATTACCAGTCCAATCCACACCATGGAAACAAATTTTACTCTCCGAATACCCATTCCCCACACCCACCTATTTATGCTCCAGTATACAACACACAACCATACTACAATCCCCAACCTTAATATAATCCACCTCGCGCCCATACAAATCCAAATCCACCACGGCCATACGCTCTAGTTCAAACTACCACTTATCAATCCGACCCACCTATAAACCCTGACCTCGCCCAAATTTTGAAGAAAGAGGTTCCAGAAACTGCACCCTAATTGCTGAACCTTTGGCTTAACTGCTTGAAAGACATAGGAGAGTAGGCTTGATACATCCAATAGAAGGAAGGATTCCTAAGTATCCTTCAAAATACTTTGATGCAACCAAACGGTGCGTCTACCACTCAAAGGTACCGGGGCATGATACAGAGGATTGCTTCAAACTGAAAAAATGAAATTGAGTCACTGATCAAAGTGGAGCCATTCAGTGCACCCCAGCTCCGCCCAATGTGAACTATAACCCACCGCCGAACCACCGAAATCAAGGAGCTAATATGATCACATGGATAAAGAATATGACTTGAAAGGGACCATCGTCACAATAGAAAACACTGAGGTTGTGAGGGTTCTACCTCAAAGGACTCTGATAATCATCGTATAGTTAAAACCTACAGTGATGGTCTAGACTTACCAGCAACAGTCCATCGCTGTTATCAAGGATGAAGAGGATCGAGAATACAAGACAGTCCCATGGACATATCAGGTGAAAAGGAAAGCCAAGATGACAGATTCCGCAGCGGCTCATGGAATGACCAGGCCAGGGAGGTGTTACACTCCTAAAGAAGTAAATTGAGGGAATCCAGGAAGGGAACATATACAGAGAAAGAATATAACAGATCTGGAGGCTACAACATTTTGGAAGAAGATGACAACCAAAGAATACTCTGTGGTGGAACAATTAAAGAAAACCCGGATTCAAATATCAATCATGGATCTACAGATGAGTTCTGACAGTCACAAAGACTCCTTGATGAAAATGTTAAGTGGGTGAGAGTTCCAAGCAACACTACCAACGAGTCATTGGCAACAACCATCGGAAAGATGGTCGAAGAAAATATGATCACCTTCCGAAGAGATGAGCTTCCTGTAGAGGACGTGGGTCATAACAGAGCCTTACACATCACCGTCAAATATGGAGATAAGGTGGCATCCCGAGTACTTGTTGATGGAGGATCAGGATTCAATATTTGCCTTCTCTCTACCCTATGAGAGTTAGCTATTCATCTGAGAGAAGTAAAAGAAATTCATGTGAGGGTAAGAGCTTTCGACGGGTCACAGAAGGACGTCAGTGGAGAAATCTATTTGGCCCTGCAAATTAGACCAGTTGAGTTTCCCATACTGTTCTATGTAATGGATATTTCATCTCCATACAACCTGTTGCTAGGAAGACCTTGGATACACATGGCATGGACAATCCCATCTGCTCTCCACCAATGCATGAAGTTCGAATGGGGTTGTCAAGAGATTGTAGTCCATAGAGAATGGAGCCAGTCAGCTAATCTTGAACATGTAGTTTCGTTCATAGAAAGATTGGACGGGGTTGCTTTTCATGCGATCGAGATCATATAGACCACAGAGATAGAAGAGACCGGGAAAAATCTGGGTATGCAGTCACCATACGGATCAAAGATGGATATGAGAGAAATGATGAAGTACAGATATAGACCGGGAACCGCATTGGGAGCCTGATCAGGTGGGATAACAGAGTCGATTGAGCCAAGCAGGTAGAAAGGTAGAGCCGACATAAGGTATCAGCCTCCAACTAGAAAGACTTGTACCGGTGGCTTTGGGAAGAAAGCTTTTGTGCTAGAACGTGTTTCGAGTCCGGGTCAGAGCTCAAAACCAGAGGACAACATCGTCGATGCAATGGGTAGCTGTTCGTAACCATGATCGAGAAATGTTGCGACAAGGTTGATATCAAGACACCAACCATTCGGAATGCCGAACCAGGAGAGGACTTGCAGAATTAGAATACCAGCCCAATTTTGGTTCGCCAGGAGTCTTGGTAGTGTGGAATTGTAAATCTTTTGAAAAAAAGTGCACGGTCAATTGAGTCTTGAACCGTGTCTGTACTCTTTTGTCATTTGCCTCCTTGAACGCTCAGACATTCCTCTTTTGATGAAATAAAAAATGTTTCTTAAAATTATTGCAAACTTTTATCGCTTCATTTATACCTAGGTTTTCTTTTAAGTAATCAAAACGATAAAAACCCGCATTCCACGATTATGACATGTAACGAAACCCTCAAGCAAAGCGATCCAGATTACGAGGAATATGACGAAAGCATGATTCTAGATAATCTCCCACAAGAGATTGAACAATTTGAAATCCAGAAAAAGCCTAACCTTGACGTGACAAAAGTAGTCAACTTGGGAAGCGAAGAAGACGTGAAAGAAACTCGAATCAACAACCATTTGGAAGCAGAGCAGAAAGAAGAATTGGTTGAGCTCCTCCAATAGTACATCGACATATTCGCATGGTCATATGATGATATGCCTGGGTTAAGCACCGACATCATTTCGCATCGATTGCCTACCGATCCTGCCAAACCGCCAGTCAAACAAAAACCCAGAAAGTTCAAGCCGGACCTTAGTAGCTAAGAAATAGAGGCAAATGTGGTGAGAGTAACCAATTACCCCACGTGGTTGGAAAATATCGTAACGGTACCAAAGAAGGATGGGAAGATCAGGAAATGTGTGGATTATCGAAATCTTAACAAGGCTAGTCCAAAGGACGATTTCCATTTACCAAATATTCATATCCTCATGGACAACTACGCAAATCATGAGCCGCAGTCATTCGTGGATTGTTTCGCCGAGTACCATCAGATCTTGATACATGAAGAAGATGCAGAGAAGATAATGTTCACTATGCCTTGGGGAGTTACTATTAAAGAGTCATGCCATTCGGCCTCAAGAACGCCGACGCTATTTACATGAGGGCCATGACAACCTTCTTTCACAACATGATCCACAAAGAAATCGAGGTATGTGTGGATAATGTCATCATCACGTCCCGAAAGAGTTCAGAATATTTGGACGACTTGAAGAAGTTTTTTCAACGCTTGCGGAGGTATAGTTTAAAGTTGAACCCTACAAAATACACGTTCGGAATCTCTACTGGAAAATTGCCGGGTTTCATCATAAGTAGGAAAGGGATAGAACTAGATCCTTCAAAGATCAAAGCCATTCAAGAGTTGCCACCGCCTAAAAGCAAGAAGTATGTGATGAGTTTCCTTGGTAGGCTAAATTACATTAGTAGATTCATAGCCCAGTCCACGGTAATTTGTGAGCCCATCTTCAACCTGTTGAAAAAAGATGCTGCTACGAAATGGACGGAGGAGTGTCAAAAAGCCTTCAACAAAATAAAGGAGTACTTGTCAAATCCACCAGCGTTGGTTCCTCCCGAACCCGAGAAGCCATTGTTGTTATACTTGTTAGTTGTGGACAATCCATTTGGATGCGTGTTGGGACAACACGATGAGACTGGGAAAAAGGAGCAAGCCATCTACTACTTAAGAAAGAAGTTTACACCATATGAAGTCAAATATACTCTGATAGAGTACTTGCTGTGCCTTGACTTGGATCACCCAGAAATTGAGGCATTACATGTCAGCATACTCCACGCATATAATATCCCGACTCGATTCTCTCAAGTATATCTTTTAAAAGCCGATGCCTATAGGAAAACTAGCCAAATGGAAAATTCTTCTCAGCGAATTTGACATTGTGTACATAACATAGAAGGCCATCAAAGGACAAGCCTTAGCTAATCACCTTGCAGAGAATCCAGTGGACCAGGATTATGACCCGCTCACCACATACTTCCCAGACGAAGAAGTGTTGTTCAGCGGAGAAGATATTGTAGAGTCATACCCAGGGTGGAGAATGTTCTTCGACAGAGCAGCGAATTTCAAAGGAGTAGGAATTTGGGAAGTCCTAATTTCAAAATGAGGACAATATTACCCGACATAAACAAAGATAAGGTTCCCTTGCACCAATAGTATAGCCGAGTACAAAGCTTGCATCCTCGGGATTAGGATGGCGGTTGGCATGAACATCAAGGAGCTTTTTGTCAGAGGAGATTCTGATATGTTGATACATCAAGTTCAAGGAGAATGGACTACCAAGAACGTCAAGATCCTTCCGTACCTGCACTGTGTATAGGAGCTATGTAAGAAGTTCACAAAGATCGAGTTCAAATACATTCCCAGGATTCAAAACGAGTTTGTCGACGCTCTCGCAACCTTGTCTTCTATGATCCAGTATCCAGATAAGAATTACATCGACCCTATCGAGATAGAAATCAGGGATCAACATGCGTACTGCTTTTATGTAGATAAAGAACCAGACAGTAAGCCGTGGTACCACGACATCAAAAGGTTCCTTGAAATAAGAGAGTATCCAGAGAATGCCATGAGCACTAAGAAGGCTAGCGAATCACTATTTCATCAATGGGGAAGTCCTACATAGGAAGATCTCAGACTTGGGTCTGTTAAGATGTGTAGATGCAGCTAAAGCAACCAGACTATAAGAAGAAATACACGCAGGGACATGTGGACCCCATATGAACGGCTTCACCTTAGCCAAAAAGATTTTATGAGCCGGATACTTTTGGATGATCAAGGAAAGTGATAGTAACCGCTATGTGCAGAAGTTTAACCAGTGCCAGATCCACGGGAATTTCATCCGGGTTCCACCTAATAAGTTGAGTGTAATGGGTTCCCCTTGGCCATTCTCCGTTTGGGGCATGGACGTAATTGGACCTATAGAGCCCGCTGCATCAAATGGACACCTTTTTATCTTGTAGCAATTGATTACTTCACCAAATGGCTCGAAGCTTCTACATACAAGGTCGTTACGAATAAAGTAGTGGCAGATTTCATCCGTAACAACATAGTCTGTCGGTTTGGGATACCCGAGTCGATCATCACTGAATACGCAACCAATCTCAACAGTGATCTCATGAGGGAAATTTGTTAGAAGTTTAGAATTGTACACCATAACTCTATAGCCTGCTGACCACAAATGAATGGAGCAGTTGAAGCAGCCAACAAAAACATCAAAAGGATTCTAAGAAAGATAGTGGACAATCACAGGCAGTGGAATGGGAAATTGTCCTTTGCCTTACTAGGTTATCGGACCATCATGAGGACATCCACTGGGGCAACGCCATACATGTTGGTATATGGCACTAAAGTTCTGATACCCGCAAAAGTCAAAATACCGTCCTTGAGAGTCATTCAAGAAGCCAAACTAGACGATGCAGAATGGATACGGGTCAGGGAGGAGCAACTCATGCTCATTAATGAGAAGAGAATGGACGCAATAGGCCATGGTCAGATATATCAAATAGGATGGCTAGCCCAACAAAAGGGTGAAACCTCGCCAATTTATACCTGGGCAGTTGGTTTTGAGAAAATATTACCTCATCAAAAAGAAGCCAAAGGAAAGTCTGCGCCCAATTGGCAAGGTCCTTACGTGGTCCACCGAGTGTTGTCGGGAGGAGCTCTGATCTTGGCAGAGATGGACGGAACAGTCATCAGGAAGCCTATCAACTCAGACACAATCAAGAAATACTACATTTGAATACAGTAGAGTTAGATTTTGGTTGTAATAGAACTACGCTCGACTTGACTTCCCACGGAGGGATACATAGGCAATCCACATATAGTAATAACAATCTACATATCTTTAGATTGTTATTACTACATATCTTGTGTTGTTATTACTTGTGATCAATACTTCTTTCATGAAAAAATATAGTAGAAAAAGCTTATAAGGGATAGAATGGGGAAAGTCCATAGATCACTGTGTATTAATACAAACAGAAGAAGTAAAGAAACTTGATAATTCAAACGGAAGAAGTAGAAAATATGGTGCTTGCCAAGAACAATCATTACATAATGAATTAAAACGTTGGAAAGAATTGCAAGATAGTTTATTATTCCAAAGGCTGAATACATCTGTAGCCCCTTAAACTTGTCAAAAAAATTCACATAAACACTTATACTAGAGTTTGTACCTATTGAACACTTGAAGTATATTCAAATTGTATCAATTGAACCCTTCGAGAACAACTTGATAAAAAGACCGTGTGCGTGCAGCTCAAACGCTAATGAAGTGGCAATCAACAAGTAAAATAAAGACATGTGGCAGCTTAATGGAAAAGACAAAAATTATTCTGCGTTTGCATTAACAAACCCAGCCTTTCTTTGTTGTTTCCTCAATGTACTCTCTTCCACCATTGAAACCACCTGCAAACAAATCATTCATCTTTCTTTTCCTATCTTTTTCTTCTTCTATTGTTTGTCTTCCTGACCTTCCTTATCATGGATGCACCATAACCCCCTGTAAACCCATAAATTCATATACATTAAATATAAATCTTCACCTTCAGAATCACTCCATTGCACCGCTCTTTCAACCTTATAAAAAACTAAAAATCAAAGAAATTTTAAAAACAAGTCAAATTGATGCAACCTAGAAGGTGGAGCAAATTAAGATTTGAAGGAGCCTTTTTGGGTGGGTTGTTGGAGTTTCTTTCTGAATCTTTGAGATTTATTAATATTATTTGTAATCCAATGGATTTGAGGTTGTGGGGTGCAGAGCATGTGGGTCTATGACCGTGGGGTTGATGGAGTTATTGTATATGGGTGATCAGAGGCTGGTGGTTTTAGAGAGAATGAGGGGAATGATTGGTGTTTATATAGTGGTTGAATCCGGTGGTTGTGTGTTTTAAGGGTGATTTATGAAGCTTTCAACTGATGTTTATCGATGGTGGTGGATACGGCAAAGGCATAGGAGGAGCTATACGGTAGTGGGGTGATTGTACTGGCAGAGATAAACTAAAAGAGAAAGAACTGATAACATAAATTTTTTAAAATTATGTATCTTCACGCTCGTAGAAGAGGTGAGATACACGCTAGTTGCCATGTCAGCAACTTGTGTTCAATTGACACATTTTCAACTAACATTAAGTGTGCAATAGGTACAAGCTTTAGTAGAGGTGCCTAAATAAAAATCTTGGTCAAGTTTAAGGGGCTGCACATGTATTCAGCCTATTCCAAACTAAATAATCTAAAACCATGCAGTTTGGATGGCCTAGATGACGATGTCAAAGAGAGGAGAAAGCACAAAATTGCATCAGAGAGAGAGAGAGAGAGTATAAAGGTCCATGACTATTGCACCCGAGAAGTATATTCCCCCTCTTGAGAATTAATTTTTCAAACACTAAGCAAATTGGTAGAAAGAGTTGCAGCAATTAAAACATTATCTAAAGAAAACTTAAAAGATGGAGTGAAAAGAATATCCTGACTAATAAAAGTTATAAGAAGCTAAGTACCTGTCACGATCCAAAATCCCGCCTTAAGGATCGTGAAGGACTAGGTAAGCCTAGCACATACTGAGAATATACAGATATAACCAACTTAATTCAAAATTTAACTGATTATTGAAATAACATAGTTAAACCGAATAACAGTCATACAACCCAAAAACCGGTGGTACAAAGTCATAAGCTCTATTGATTTCACTTAAATCTCTTAGTACAGTATTGTTGTGTAGTGAAAATAAACAGTAGTAATGAAAAACAAAAGAAGGTGACTTCGAGGCCATGGCAGGTATACCTTGAAGTTTCTGCAGCAATTCGCAAGCAGCTAACTAATGTTCGGCACGCTCCGAAGTACCTGGATCTGTACAAAAATATGTAGAAGCGTAGCATGACTACACCACAATCGGTACCCAGTAAGTATCAAGACTAATCTTAATGGAGTAGTGATAAGGTACAAGTCAAGACGCCTACTAGACATAATAACCTGTGCAAAGTATTAATATAAAGCTAACAGAGAAACGAATATCAATATAAAGCTAAACAAGGAAATAATAATAATATAATGCCAGCAATGGAAAGTAGAAGCAACAAATAGCAACAAGGAGTAAACAGGTGATAACACAACAACGTAAATAGAACACAGTTAAAGTACCAGCAAAACCAATAAAGGAAAACCAATGACAACCAAATAATCAAACTGTTATATCACAAAGTTTACAACTAGAATCACCCCAAGGTACCGCACCTCATACTCACGAATCACAAATCCCAATTCACCAAGTCATGCACACATGGCACCTCGTGCCCACATTATTAGTCACAACCGCATGGACAAACTCACATGCCAATATCACAATCCGCCCGACATTGCCACATGATCACAATCACAAACCGTCTGGCGTGGTCACAGGCTCAATATCACAATCTGTCCAGCATGATCACTGGCTCAATATCACCAGTCGCCCAGCGTGATCACAGGCCACCAGTCCAACCATATCATAGAGAAAGCGGATATACAAGAAGGCATGTACGTGGTCAGTGAACATCAAGTATCATACTCCTGGACTAGTTTAAACGACACATTACGGTGCATGCATGTGCGAGTGTACTACCACAACTCAAGTCAACAAGTAATATCAGTGACACCGAGTAGCACTTTGGAAACAACACAACAAATCATGTAATATGTATGACAGGCACAAGAAAGTCACACCACCAAACGAATATCAACAATAATATGCCCCCACACCATCACATTTCATCCCTGACATATCAACCATTTTCTCTCCGCGTTGATAATATTATAATAGACATCCTTATCACTCCGCCCAGACAGTATATCGATAGCCACCCGTATCGCTCCGTCCTAACAATAACACAATAGCCGCACATATCGCTATGCTCACTCATTCGAATCGAATAGCTGAAACTACTATAACTCTTATTTTTCTGCTTTAAGAGAAGCCTTCTAGCTCGTTTTAATGCGTTGAAGAGAGAGATAGGACATTCTAAAGATAGTTGTTGAGGAAGTATCTGATTTCTAACTACGAGTCCGTTTTCAAGCTAACTGAACGCCTGTCTGTTGCTAGTTTTGTTCTGGACAATATATCAATAGCCATACGTATTGATCCGTCCGGACAATATATCAAAAGCCACCCGTATTGCTCCGCAAAATCAACAATAGTGAAAGGCCACCTCTATACTCCGCATAACAACAATCAACCCCCATAACATGTCTATATTTACCACAATATGGACAAAACAACAATACCGATATCACAACAAATGCATAGCCATGGATCAACAACAATGTATACAAGACTCTCAACAACAATACAATAAAACGGAAGAACAAACCAACAATAAGAAATATAACATGTGATAACACTTCAATTAAATGCATAATAATGAACTAAAAAATGGAAGATATAACAAGCAGTAACAACCTCAATGGAATGCATGTAAGAGTAAACTCGACAATGAAAGATAGAACATGATATGATAACTTCAATTAAGTGTATATAAGAAACTTAGGATCTAAATCGATCAATTTTCATATATAAGACCGGGTACATACTCGTCACCTCGTGTACACATCTTTCACATAACATATATAATATACTTAGACCAAATCCTATGGGGTAGTTTCCTCAACACAAAGTTAGGAAAAATACTTACCTCAAAGAAGCTAAATTAATAGTCTAGCCCTTCCCGTGTGAAATAACCTCCGAATGACCCAGATCTAGCCAAAATAACTAAATATTATAAATAAAAGTCATAGAAAATAATTTCGGATAATAAAGCTTCGATCTTAAACAAGAATAAAAAAGTCAACCCAAAAGGTCAACTTCGGGCCCGCACCTCAAAAAGCAGCAAAACACATAAAATCCGAACACCCATTCAGATATGAGTCCAACCATACAAAAATCACCCAATTCTGACCTCAAATCGGCCTTAAAATCATTAATTTATGTTTTAGAAAAGTTTTTACAAAAATTCCCAATTTTTCCAATTCAAATCACTAATTAAATGATTAAAACTAAGATGGAATCATGAGATATAACCATATCCAAGTCAAAAATACTTACCCCAATCCAAATCGTGAAATCCCCTCCAAAATCACCCAAAATCGAGCTCTCTAACTCAAAAATGTAACAAAATAACAAAACCCTCGAAATAGAGTACTTTATATATTCTGCCCAGTGGTTACCTTCGCGATCGCAAAGAACAAGTCAAGCTCCTCCAAAAATCCTCCTTCACGAATGCGGTCTGACACTCGCGAACGCGATGCCCAGCCTCTACTAGCGTACATGAACGCGGTCACTAACACGTGAACGCGAAGTCCATGAACCTGGCGCCCTATCCGGATCATACGCTACACGAACGCGACCGCTAGGGAGAGAACACGATGACCATAAATCGCCAACCTTCTACGATCTCCACCTTTCTTACACGGACGCGATGACCAATTTACTTGCCTCCCAATTTAAACTCCGCAATCAAAACTATGAACCACACCTCAATTCAAGCCCAATGAATTAATGAACTTTCAACTTCCAAAACTCATGCCGAAACACAATAAATCAACCCGGAATGACCTAAAATTTTACATGCAAGTCCCAAATGACACAACAAACCTATACTAACTCCCGGAATCACAATTCCGAGCCCGATATCAATAGAGTTAATCCTCGGTCAAACCTACCAACCTTCCAAACCTTCAACTTTCCAACTTTCGCCAAAAAAAACAAAATCA